ATGCACCAAATGGGTGTCGCGTTGCTCCTTCCGGTACCTTTGTCTTCGTTCGCGCACAGATCCACGATAAGATTAGAATTCGATAACGCGTTCCAACAATTGTCACCATTTCCCGTCACCGAATTCGTATTGTCCGATTTTTCACTCGTTCCATCGTTCAACAATTCTTCGATGCAATCCTTTCCTTCTTCTTTCATCAGTAATTTAAAGGGAGTTTCGAAATCGAAACCGTTGTTTTTGTCATTATTCCCGACGACTTCGTTTAATTTGAGTTTGGAAAAATTTAAATTTGGCTTTAGGGATATTTCACTCTTTGTTTTCTTCCTGTTGTAAACCCCTTTTTCGTTGTACCCCGTCGTACAATTACCCCCGACGTTATAATCGTTCGTAATCCCTCTGTTGAAGTGTTTCAATTGACTCATCGATATGTCCATTTCGCCCACGGAGGGCGGAGAACCGGATTCGTAGTCCGAATGATGATCCGATTCCGTCGTTAAAATCTCCGATGGATTTTTCGACGAGAAATACTTTTGACGATCTATTTGAGTTATCAATTCGCAATCTGTCGAATTCCAAACTCGAATTTCACCAGATAAACACGAGGATATAATAAAAACTCCGTCGTTTATCAAACACTCGATTTCCTGATAGTGTCCTTCCAATATTGTAGGCACGGCTTCGAGAACGACCTTAAAAAAATAATAATAATAATTTAAAAGGCAAAAAGTTTTATTTTTTTTATTTTTTTTATTTTTTACGAACCTGAGTGTCGCTTTCGTGTTGGGTAGAATTCGAAGCCCAACTGCTTCTCCATTCGGCATAATTTCTCGAACATATACACCTGTACAAGACCATCGTCATGTAAGCTAAAACGAAAACGCTCACGACGACCAATATGCAAGAAAGAGCTATTTCCATGGGACTCCTAGGAATGAAAGGACTATCGTTTGATTCGGTTAAAAGCGAAGACGATTTCGTAACATCTAAAACAAAAAAAAAAAAAAAAAAAAAAAACAAAAGAGTTAAAAAATCGTTTTTTTTTTTTTTTTTTTGAATCCTTTTCAAAAAGGTATCCTTTTAACTCACCCGACGAAGAAAAATCCAATGGATCCAAAGCGGCTGCCAATGATTTCCATTGAAAATTAGCTATTTTATCATTTGGATTTCTCATCGCTATGGCATCCTCAGGACTCACCGTGTGACTTATTCTAATGGATGGCAATATTGTTATGTATTTTCCGGTGAGAGAAATATTATACAGCGACATCATTACGGGCCAATGAAATAATGATAATCTTCTATGAGAATCCTGATCTCGATGCCTGAATCTATTGAGATCCGATTCATCGGACTATTAAGTAGAACAAAAAAAAAAATTTTTTTTTTTTTGAAAATGAAACGAAACGTTGGGAAAAATTTGAATTTTCAATTTTTTACATCGTATTGTTCTCCTTTCATTTTATTATTAACGGCAGAAGAAGAAGAAGAAGTTTCGTCAGTCATGAGAGTCGAAAATGTTTTCAAATCATTCAGAACGTTACTCCCTCCGCCATTTCCTCCTTCTCCATCTACAGGTTTTTGAATATTACTCTGAAAATAAATAATAAATTTTTTATTATAGCCATTTTTTTTTTTTTTTTTTTTTTTTTAATTAACACAAAAATGTTTTTTTTTTTTTTTTAAAATAACCTTACAGGAACTTGAAGTTTTTGATGAAATTTAGCAATTTCATCAATTTGTAAAACTTGTTGAACAAATTTGGCCGTGTACAATATGAAACACATCCACATAACTAAAGCGATCATGAAAGCTCTTTGGAAAAATCTAGTGCTCGCCCAAATATTTAACAATCTTAATCTCTTTGGAATTTTATTTAAAATTGGTGCCGATTGAGCTGGAAAAAAAAAAAAAAAATTATATGACAAATACAAATTTTGAATGATTTTCTTTAAGGTTCAAAAGTGTACGAGTAAAACTCACCCAAAACGTTTGTCGGATACGACGAAGCAGACGACGTCGAAATGACGCCGGAACTTAAATTATGATGAGATTTCGAACGAATTAAATTTTTATTTTCGTTGTTAAAATATCTCAGGTACGGTTTATCGTAAGGTGTCGTCCCGAATTTATTGCTCGTGAGAACTTTTTGCACCGGAAGTGAATGATAATTGTAATAATTATTTTTATTATCGAAATTCGATTCCATTCTGTGTATATCGATCGATAATATCGTTGTGAAAAAAAGTAATTGTATGAAAAAATCGCAAACCAAACCGACTATCCCTAATATGCATAGTTCTTGAATAGCGGATACGAACGTTCCAAATCCTATCGTCAATATGGTGACTTGAATGAGTAAAATTTTCGTTATGGACCATCCTTCCCGGCTCAATCCCTGTGCGACTCGAATTTTCACATCCAAGTGTGCAGGAGTGTTGGTTATCGACTTGGTTATGACGAGAACATTTTCCAAACCGACAAAAACAACTAAATACGGAAATATTTCTTTTCCGTTGAGAGGCACTGTTAAACCGAAAAAAAAACATAAACCCATCGACATACAAAGACAAGATAGTATTGATATAACTGAACAAAATGCGATTCCTAATTTTGATTTGACCGGTTCTATTTTTCTCAGTGAAAAATATATGTAAATAAATAACAATACGAAAACGGTTGCCAAAGGTAAAAGTTCGGAAAAATTAAATTCACCCGGATAAAAAACGTGAACGGTTTCATTTGATTGTTTATTATACTGGGATCCATTTTTAATTTCACTCGTACTCGAGTAGAGAGGATACTGATGCTCTAATTTTTTTCTCAATCCGTTTATATATCTAAAAATTCAATTTTTAATTAATGTTAGTAATTTCATGACAATTGACAATTGCTTTTTTTTTTGTTTTGGGCTAAAATATAAACTCACCTTTCATCGAAATCGCTTAATATCAATGTAATGGCAAATTGAATTATCCTTGGACGAGATCTCAATGGATACCTTTTAAGACCGCTTTCTTTCATGTTAACTCCGAATAGAATTTCAGTCAAGCTAATTTTACCCTTTTGAAAATTCTAAAATTAAATTAAAATTATTTTTCTATTTTCAAATTTAAAATACTCACTACAAAAAAAAAACTATTAAATATTACTATTTTTGATTTATACTAAACTGTAAATCATTTTGTATTAGTTATTCTCTTAGTATTTAAAAATTTCAAAATTTCAACTAAAATGAAACTAAAAGGAAAATTGAAATTAAAATTTAAAGCATGCATACATGATAATTAAATATTGTTCCCATTAAATTTGTATCCATTTGAAAATTGTACTCATTTTGCTGCCAGAAATTAGCCGGTGAAAGAATTAAACAGTTATACTCTGGTAATAACTTTTTTCTTTCTTCAGAAGATTTTAATTTAACAGATTCCACATGTAAACAGAAATCGGACACAGATTTAGAGCTGCAATAGAAAAAAAATTTTTAGTTATTAGTAATAATATTGTACTAATTTAAAAAAATTTTTTTATGTTGTAACAAGTCTTACTTATTTTCCGTTTGATAATTTCTAATCGTTTCTAATAATGAAAATACTTGATGTAAGGGAGCTCTGAATGCATCACATACTGTCATTTCACTTGGCCAAGGTGAAACACCTGTTTTTAAAACAATTTGTTGAATGTAAACTGCAGGTTTCCCTGAAAACACGGTTAGATTTTCAGGTATGGCAAAATCATAGGAATTTGTGATGGTTTGAATGGGTATGTCACCAGGTAAGGGTAAATTGATTAGAGGATACCTGAAAATATAAAACAATTATTATTATGATTAAAAAAATTACGCAGGAGTTGATTATAAGTGATTAGTAAAATATATACTTACGAACATAACAGAATAACTGATATTGCGAAAAAAAGAACGAGTATGGGATGTGATGAGCAAAACAATCCGTGTGAATAATAAAAATGAGCGACTCTTTCCGGAAGATTTACTCTTTCAGAAGGTGACATTCCCACATCTTTTTTTTTTTTCATAATTGTTTCTTTTTATATTTGGTTTGTTTACTAAATAAAATTAAATTCCATATTGGTTGTTCAGGTACAAAATATATTATTGTTATCATATATAGTTCATTCTGAAACAAAATATTTATTTACAGCAAAATAATAATAATAAATTTTATAATTATATTTAACCGTTTTTAAAAACACTTAAAGGTTATCTTATTTATACCCTCACTTTCAAAAGTTAAATTAATATAAAAATAAAACGATGAAAACAAACACGTGCCATTAAACTAAATAAGGAATGCGATAAATTAAAATATCAAAGGAGCATAGAAAAATATATTTGAAACATGACTCAAATAAAATTCCAAATAAAAAAAATTCAATCTGTGGGTGAAGTTATGTAGATATTTTTTTTAAAAAAAAAAAAAAACATTTCCAAGAAAATTTAAAACGAAATAAATAAAAAAAATTTTTAATACTTTTTTAGGTAAAAAATCCTAAATTTGAAATTTGAAATTATTAACCTTTCGAATAATTATAAAACATCATTGAAATGAATTAATAACAAAAAAAAAAATGCAATTAATAATGAAACTTTAAAACTACATGCTGAAATGCATACTAGAATTGTTTAGATAGATTTATAGCAAATTTAAACGACAGCAAATTTTTCAATTCATTATATGTATATATATATATATAAATTTTAAGCGCTAATTTTTTTAAAATATTCACACACACATAATAATGCATTGTAGAATAATTTTTATACTCAACTAAATTTTTTTAATTTTTTTTTTGAAAAATCTTTTGAGATTTAAAATAAGATACTATTTACAAATAAAACTTACCGGTAATAATAATTTTTATGTAAGTATATAATCAATGATGTGTAATTATTGAAAAATGATGTTGTATACCTGAATATTAATTAATACATTATAAATGAATAATAAGTACACTTATGTTGTTCAGGCACAAAAAGTTAATTGCATGTTAAATAAATTATTTAAAAAACATATTTTTTTGCATAGTAATAAAAAAAAAAAAAAAAAAAAAAAAAAAAACCTTGAATTTAAGCGTTCAGTCAACTGAACATATAGCAATATTATTTTCATGTGATGAATTGATGAAATAATAATAATAATAATAATAAATGATTGTATTTTAATGCAAATAAATTTTTAAATTGTTTGAATAATTAATGAAACATTATTTATTTAAGTTTTTTATTGAAATTTAATTTTGCTAATCAATAATAAATTGTACAATCCTTTATTATTTTTCTAAAAAAAAAAAAAGAAAGAGTTACTATTAATTAAATTACATTATCTAAAGTAAATATCTCGAAATCAATATATTACATAATAAAAAAATCTTTAAAACTTAAGAAAAAATGAAAAAAACCGTTTGCAAATAACACAATTTTTAAACTTGTACTAATAACTCAATAATTATTTAGTAATTACATAACAAACGACGTAAAAAAAAAACGTAATTATTATGTTAAAGGGTAAAATTAATGCTGCGACTGTTATTAATCGTTATTTATAGCAAACTCAAATAAGAGCAAAAATTTTTAATTTCACGGGGGAATAAAAACAAAGTTTTGGCGCCAAAATAAACAAGTAGCTTGTTTTTGGTTTTAACATTAATCCTACCGTAAGAAAACAAAAATTTACATTTCACCAATCACTACTACCTAAACCTTTTCTTTCGATTTCTGAACGTACATTTATCTTGATTTAAAAAATGAAACGAACGTTCGAGATTATTTAATTTGGCAAGTATCCAAATCTAATTATAATTCACGTGAAAAAAAAAAATTTTTTTTTTTTAAATTTTTTTATGCTCTAAATAAATTTTACATGTGATCGCGTATTACTTTTTTTTTTTTTTTATTTAAATTTTATAACTTAATTTATATTAAAAAGTAAAAATTTTCGTCATTAAATTACATAAAAAATTTAAAAAAAAAAAAAGAAAAAAAAGTCGTTATTTTTCATAGGATTCTAATATCGACATTTTTACGTTAAAACAAAAATGGAATTCGTGGATGAAAATTATAGAGATTTGTGTTCAACGAAAACATTATATTCGACGAAAGAAGGTTTTTTATGCGATTTCTTTTTTTCGCTTTTACAAAACGTCGATGAAATTTGGATTAATAAATTTTTTAATATGGAAACTTCGGAGGAAAATAAAATTCGAATATGTTGCAACGATAAAAAGGTAAAACGAATTTTCACGAAATTTTTTTTTTTTAGCATTTAAATATTATTTCATTAGTAAATGATGTGGTTTTTACAGATTTGGCCAAAGTTAAATAATTTTTTAAAAAACATAACGAAAATATATCGTAAAAAATGTTTAGAAAATTCTAAAGAGAATAAAATCCAAGCTGATTTTTTATTTAAAAATGGCGATTATAAAAAATCAATCATGTTATATAGTCAATGCATAATAAGAGCACCTTGTTGTGGTAAGTTATTGTACTCCTCATTTCTTAATTTCTTTATTCTTTTTTTATAAATTATTTATTATATTTTATAGAAAATAAAAAATCCCCAGATGAATATTTACTACCGTTGGCATACAAAGGGAGAGCAAATGCTTTATACAAACTTGAAAAATACAAAGAATGTTTAAACGATTTAAATATGGCGTTGAAAGAAAAATTTCCAGACTCGTTAAAATATAAAATATATAAAGATATGGGAAAATGTTATTATAATTTAGGAGATTTAAATAAAGCTAAAATATCATTGCAAATATCAGATAAATTATTAAATGAACAATTGTTAAATTTGAAAAATTTAAATCAAAGGTAAACATTTTGTTTCCCCCCCCCAAAAAAAAAAAAAAAATTCATTTTTATTTAATTTTATGTTTTTTTATATGAGAAAACAGCAATAATAATAATAATAATTTTTCATTGAAAAAAACTTTGATAAGTGATAAAGAAGAAATTGAAAAAATTATTGATAATCTTACATCTTCAAATAATGATGATGAAACAATGAAAAAACAACAGGTGGAAAATTTAAATTTTAATGTACCTTATGAAGGAGGTAATCAATAGTTTGTAGTATTTGTAACAGTTTGTAGTACTTTTTCAAATTTATTGTGTAAACTTATTTTAATAACAATCTTCCCATGCAGAACCATTACCCAAAGTCAGTGGTGAACCAAACGAAATGTATCCAAATGCTTCGAACCTATTAAAAATAAGACAAGGTACAGATTGTGGTAGATTTGCTGCTGCTGCTAATAAAATAGAAATTGGTGATACGATTGTCGTCGAAGAACCACAAACATCGGTACTTTTACCAAAAATGAATTCATCTCACTGTCATCATTGTTTCACAAGGTTCTTAATTATCAACCTGGATTATCATTTTCAAAACAAAAAAAACAACTTAAATTAACATTTTGTGAATTTTTCCAGGTTGTTTGCACCCATACCCTGTAAAACATGTTCAGGTGTTGCATTTTGTTCAGTACAATGTCGCGATTCGGCATCAAATACTTATCACAGATACGAATGTCAACTTTTGGGGTTTTTCATGGGTTCTGGAATGAGTTTGATATCTTATCTATCGCTTCGAATGGTGACACAAGAGGGTTTGATATTTTTCAAACAACTTCATTCGAAATTAAAACAAATGGGAAAATGTCCAGAAGATTCTTGTGATTTAACAAAAAGAGAAAAAAATTATTTAAACGTTTATAATTTGACGACGAATTGTAAATTGAGAACGAGTAAAGATTTTTTCACGAGAACCGTCATGGCGATATTTCTTGTCAAATGTTTAAAATTAACAAATTATTTTGAATCCCCGGAAAATAAAACAACAGGTTAATAATATTTGCGCTACCTTTTGTGGAAAGTTAGAGTAAATAAATAACCGTAGTTTATTTAAAGGAGGATCAGATGATTTTAACGAAGATGAAATATTAACGGCATCGATTATTCTTCATCATTTGGAATTGTTGCAATTTAACGCTCACGAAATATACGAAACGAGAGTGGAGGAACTTTATAAAACGGAAGATTCGAAAACGGTTTTTATTGCCATCGGTGTTTATCCAACTGTTGCTTTATTTAACCACGAATGTTCTCCATCTGTCACCAGGTACGCCATATTTAATTTTAACATAATCCCAACGACCTTTGTTCCACATTCGCAATTAAAATCAGTTTTAAAAAAAGATATTTCAGTGGGAAAAACATAATCATAAAAGCTGTTCGTCCATTGGCGACAAACGATATACTATCCGACAATTATGGACCACATTATGGTAAAAAAACTCTTCTGGAAAGAACGAGAGAATTAACATCGCGATATTGGTTTCGTTGTCGTTGTCAGGCATGCATTGAAAATTGGCCATTGATACAAGATATAAATGCAGAAGATTTTAAAATAAGGTAAAAAAAAATTACATATTATCGACATTAAAGGATAAAAAGTATTGATAATGATGATTATATAATTTCAGATGTACGAGTTTAGGATGTCAAAACGTATTTAATTTACAAAATAATACGAAAAAGAAAAATAATAATTTCAAATGTTGGCAATGTTCGAAAGAAATCGATATGGAGAACGTTAAAAAAAAAAAATTACAAGCTGATGATTTATTTACAAAATCAATCGATCTCATGGATGATAAAAAATGTATTAACGCCATTCCTTTTCTTATATCATTTCTAAATAAAATTTTCAATATGGCCGTAGAACCGTGTCGGGAAATTTTTCTGGGTCAGGAAGCTTTAAGAACGTGTTATGCTCAAACCGGAAATATATGGATTTTGAACGATTGATCCTTTTTTTCTCCTAAATAAAATATTTTATTCACTGTATATTTCTCTCTTATTAAATTTAATCCGTTTTTTTTTTTTAAACAACTTTACCGTATTTTACTTTTTTGTAATGAAAAATTCGTTATTTTTGAATAATTAAAAAACAAAACAAAAATGGCGGACGTGATACGATAAGAGAAAAATTGTATTGTTTTGAAATATATCCGTTTAAAATAGATTTATTTACATCAAATTAACAAATTTTCGTTTCTTTTAATTACTTTTATCCAAAATCCATCTTTTGGTACTAAAAAAAACGAACTCGGACACATTTTAAAAGGTTTTGTTTTTTCACATTTTAATATTTTAAAATTTTTTATTATCAATGCTAATGTTAATTTCATTTCCATCATTGCCAACCTAAAACCTAAAAAAAAAAAAAAAATGTAAATGTAAAACGAATCAACGGTTTTCTTTAATTTTACTTTTTGTAATACCAACCGATACAAACTCTTGGTCCGTGTCCGAAAGGCATGTAAGCATAGGGTGGTATATTTTTACGATTTTCCGATGAAAATCTTTCTGGATTAAATTCTTCCGGATCGGGAAAATATTCGGGATCGTGATGAAATGCATAAACGGGAATAAACAATTGACAGCCTTTCGGAAGGATTATCGACGTTTCGGGTATTTCGTAGGGTTGAGTACATTTACGTAGTAATATTCCTACAGGAGGATAAAGTCTTAACGTTTCTGAAACAAATAATAATAATAATAATAATAATAATAAATGTTGATGTTTTGTGATTGGGGGGGGCGGGAGTGGGTTACCTTCCAAAACTTGTTCGGTATATGTCAATTGTTGTACAGAATCGTATGTGACGTCATCATTTGTTTTAAGTACTTGCGTGACTTCTTCGTAGAGTTTTTCTTGAATTTCTGGATGATGTGCCAATTCGAATAAACAAGCACTCATGGCCGAAGATGATGTTTCGTAGCCGGCAACGAAAAAAACAAAAGCTTGAGCGGCAATCACGCCTTCCGTTAATTCTGAAATAATAATTTTTTAAATATTTCGACGGTTAAAATAAAAATAAAAAAGATGCTCGATTGACTCGCGTAGTAGTCGCAGTCGTTGACAAATTTTAAAGAAACGCGACATTCGAAATAAACAACGTATAATTTACATTATAAAATTCGCGAATTGATTTAGAAAAAGAAAAGTTTTTTCTACTGGTTTTAATTATTGATTAATGTTAATTGATTTTTTCTTACCGATTGAATTTTCACTCACGGCCATATTGTAATTTTTAACACCTTTCATTTCGTCCATATCTTTCAAATCCGTACCTTTCGTTTCGTTTATTTTCATTAAAAAATGTAAAAAATCATTTCTTTCAACGTTGTTTTCCCTTCGATACGTCATAGTATTATTAACGACGTTAATGAAAAAATCCGTTACTTTTTTCGAAACCATTCTCAATTTGAATATTTTATACATCCAATAATTTGTATTGGCAATTATTTGTCCGACTCTTTCAAATTGTGTCGGTTCGAAAAATTTTTGTCCCATGTGTAAAAATTCGGAATCTTCTTTCATGGCGTTAACATCGATTCCAAATGCAACGTTGCCAATTATATCAACCGTATACCTTCCGAGAAAATCTCTCGCGTCTAACATTTTACCTTCTTCTGCTGCCCCGTTTAAATTTTTAATTAATTCGTTGCAAATATTTGTCATCGATTGAAACATTCCTTTTAATTTACTCGTGCTGAAAGCGGGATTTAATTTCGATCGAATATATTTCCATTTAGAACCTTCTAATGCAATTAAATGAGCACTCAAAGGATCGAAATGTTCATCGTGAGCAATGTGTCGATCGTGAAAATGTGGAAAATTTTTAACTAAAACATCTTTAACGAGTTGAGGATGACAAATAATCATGACCGGATCTCTCAATTGAAATATTCCACCGTATTTATGTCCGAGTTTTTTAAAATACTGATAAAATTCCCAAACTGCTTCGTTTTGACTTTTAACACATTTTGCTATTTCTTTCATGTTTCCATAAACGAATTCAGGTTTTATGTAAGGCACGTTTAATTTATCCCAAAAATCGTTATTTGACGTCACGTAATAATACATCAATGCTAATAAGGTACCGATAAACGTTCCGAAATAAATAAACCACCATGAATTTACTGCTATGGCATCCATTTTTCCCCTTAAAAAAAAAAAAAAACAATTAAAACCCACCCTATTAACTATTTTTTTAAAGTAAAAAATTTCAACGGTTTTTTTTCCAACCACCGCGAATCGAATCGTTCGATATTATCGATAAATTTAAATTTATTCCTTACCTTTAATTTATTTCCCTTTTTTTTCTTTTTAAATTCAAACGAAAAGGATTCTTATCCAAGAGATAAACAATTTTCATCTTTGAGATTACAATCAATCAAATTTCGAACGTGGCATCCGATAAGAAAAATAATTAGATTTATCGATCCATCGATCGATCGATATATCGATCTATCGTTTATTTTAATATAAAAGTGCTAAAGAAAAGAAAAGATACACTTATCGGAAATAGAATGAATAATTATTTTTTGTAAATTCGTTAACATTTTTTTTTTTTTAATAAAATATATTTCATATAATAATAATAATAATAATAATAATTGTTCGTTAATACATTTACATATATTTCTCATATAATTACAAATAACATCTATTAATATATATATTCAGTCCTATTTTTTTCTTTTTCTTCCTTTTTTTTATCATCTTGTGAAAAATTAAACGATTTTAAAAACGTTACGAACGAAAAATAATAATAATAATAATAATAATAATTTTAATAATAAGAGTTATTGATATATCTATAAATATATTTATATTATATACAAATATTAGGTTTTTTTTTTTTTGTTTTTTTTTTTTTTTAAATAATATTAATAATATATAAAAAAAATCACTTCGACATTTCGTTACGAGGAAATTCATTTACAATATTCGTTTATATAAAAAAACTTTTTTTACAATAATAATAATAATAATAATAATAATAATAATAATAATAATAATAATAATAATAATAATAATTACGCGAAGATGAATATGATTTTAAGTAAAAAAAAACTGCGAAACGACTAACAGATGATAGATTATTATGAAAAAAAAAAAAAAATTTCTACGAAACAAAAACGATGTAACGAATAAAAAAAAAAAGGAAAAAAAAAATTTGTGCGTATTTTTCTCTCCCCCCCTTCCCCTTCCCCCCGTGCTTTAGGCCACAACAATTAGGTAAGGACACAAAAAATTATTATTAAAAAAATAAAATAAAAAAAAAAAAACAATAACTCTCTCTCTCTCTCTCTTTATGTAAACTTTTCGAGCCGGATATAAAAACAAACAAAAAACAATTAAATAACAACAAAATAAAACAAACGACGACCGACAAAGAAAGAAAGGAAATAAATAAATAACAATGAATCGTCTGCTTTTTTTTTTTTAAATTTTAAATTTTAAATACTCGCGCCATTAATTAACGTTAATCTACAAACGAAAAAATTGTTTGAATCTTATTAATCTTTGAACGTGTGATTCGTTATGTGTAATAATTCGACTGGCGACGATATACTAATATATATATATGTGGATAGAAAAAGAGTAGATGAACATAATTCACTGGTCCATTATGTGAAAAACTAATTCTAAAACAGCAGCCGAATCGTTTATTGAACCCGCTTTGTGAAGTACGGGTATAAGCTCGTTGTCTAAACTGTTCATGTAAATGGGTGCGAGTTTTTCCCCGTTGCTTCCCGCTTCGTATCCGACCTTTAAAGAGTAAAAACAGAGTAAATAAATAAATTTAAAACCATTTCTTCCCCGTCAATTATTATTCTCTCACGTTTTCTTGATCCATCGTCGCTCTCACGGCTAATATCGTCAAACCGGATGCGGCCAACAAATCTAGAAGTTTAATTAAAGCTATGCACGTGGCTCTAGCGATGCTTTCCGATAAATTATTCACTTCCAACGGATCCCCTAATTTTGCCGACGTTGCTCCATCTTCGCACTGAAACGCACAAATCGACAATCGTTAATTAATTTCCTTTTTTCTCTTTTGTCGTTTACAAATTTTTTGTCTTCTACCTTAATTATGAAAACCTGCGTCCATCTTATCAATTTCGTAGATCCCATAAAATCTTTTCCACTGTGAACTCTTATTGAAGGCACACCGTCAAGAGCCATATTATCTATGACGCTTTTTACTCTGAAAATAAATCAATCATTGTAAACAAACAGGTACGTTTTTGTAGTTAAAAAAAAAAAAAAACTTTTGATTATAATAAAACCAACCCGACGTTAAAATTTTTATCATCTTCGCACCAAATTATTTTAACAACTTCTTCCGCATTTCTTCCTTCTATGGGCCCACATTTAACGCTCCAATCCTCCATGTTTCTCAATTTGTTTCTCAACGACGTCATCGTATCCCTCGGGACTTGAACCATTAAACCATCTTCGATTATGCTCGTTTTGGCAGCCACTCCGCTCGTTGTTTTTAACGCTCCGTTTAAAACGACGAAACTAGCACCCGTAACTGGACGAAATAAAAATAACGTTTTACAAACGGTTTTTTTTCAAATAAACATTGAAAAACATTTTCGAACGTACCTTTCCTGGGTTTTTCGTTGATGTTTATCGCTTGCGTGCTGTAGGTGATTTCCGTTCCTTTCGATTGCATGCAAACCAAATGCGCATCCGCTTCGCAACTAAAACATCCGGCCAATGCCAGAACGGGATCGTTGGAATTTTTCAAAGCTCTCACGACTTGATCGTACCTATTTTTCGGAATTAGAATGGATGTTTGATTTGCTTCCATATGTATTCTCAAACCTCTAACGCTCGGTATGGTGTATTTCAAATTTTGAAAATCCTAAATCGACAATTAATTGTATTTAACTTATTGTTTACCAACCGCAATTATTTGTACCTCTTGAATAATGAGTAACTCACGGCTAATAATTTGATTATGGTATGTCCGACTTCGTAATAAACGGGTTCCCTAAATCTCACGGACACTAACGGGCACGGGTAGTACCTGAATTCGGCACCCAGTCTCAACATTAGTCGAAGTGGAAAAACTCTGGCCCAGGGAATTTCAGACTTGTGAATGAGAATTCCGACTAGAAATGGTGGCGGCGGCAAATCGATGCGATTTAAACATTGAAAACTGGGTCGAATGAATAAAAATCCACCATGTTGTTTCGAATCTAAAAAATTTGATTCGTTGACACACCAGTAACCTAATTCGTTGACTGTGTTCCCTAAAAAAAAAAAAACCAAAAATCAACAATTTAAAGTTTTATTAATGGGCTTCCAATCATTTAGCATTTGCAATTACCTTTCGCAGCCTCTTGGTATATGTAGTGAAGCTGCAAAAATATTTCTTTAGGTATTTGGTCGTCATCGGGTTCCGTTAACGTTAAAATAAATATAATTTCATCTTGTCCAACGCATCCCATGCCCTTTGAGCATATAACCCAACAAGTTTCTTTCATGCAACAATCCACTGTAATGTAAAAACGGAAATAAGTCATTAGAACGCCTTCTTATTATTTAACACAAATGATAAAAATTTCACAATTTTCAAAATGGCCGGTTAACGTTTAACGTTAAAATTATTAATAATTAACAATGTCGATTCACATCAACTTACGTTCAACAATTTTTACTCGAGCAATTAAATTTCTATTGATAGCGAATTGAAGAGGAGGTAAATTGGGATCTTTTAAATTTTCCATTATTTTAGACAAAGACCAATTTTCTTCGTATGACGTTTCACCCTTGTTATTCACGTAAACAGGAGGTAAACTTTTATCAACTATGAAACTTTGACTTATCGGATCGATTGGAGGCAACATAACTAAAAAGAGGTCATGAATTCCGATGTAATTTAAATAAAGAACTTTAAGAAAGTTTACGAAAAAAAAAAAAAAAGAAAAATTTTTTTTTGTACCTGGTGGTATGCTACCTCTCTTTCCAACTCTACCAGGTTTTCTAAAAGCATTTCTATGTTCTTCAGATCCATCCAATTCGGTTAAATCCCCTCCCGGCCTTATTCCATCGCTAAACATGACCTGCTTTGGGGGTTCTTTAATTCTTGAGCTTCCTAAAAAAATGTTTGAAGCAAACACAATGCAAAACGTTTTAATTTCAAATCAATTACGAAATAAACAGGCGAAAATAAAAAAAAAAAAAAAAAATTGTTTCATCATACTCACCTTCTCTTTTTAAAACTCCAACCGGAACCATTACCGATGGAGGAGGTTGACTACCAGAGCTATTGATTTGAAGAGGTGGTGGCACAGTGCTGCAATATTCCATTGGATTGTTGGGATTTGGCCTTTTTCTAGGAGAAGACTCGGAATCTTCATCGTTTTGCAATTCGTCCATGAGAACTGAAAAAAAATAAATAAATAAATAAATAAATTATTAAAAACCGTACCGAAAACTTATTTAAACCGTACTTAAAACTTTAATTTACTTTTAGCTAAAGTTTGAAAACAAGTTTCGCAAACTCTTTGCTCTTGGTTTTGAAGGTACTCCAAGGAGGCTCTCATTCCGCAACATTTAGAGCATAAAATTCTACCGCACGCACGACAGTGATGTCTTCTTTTAATCATTGTAAACTTACAATTACATTCCATACAGTTAGAGGTAAAATTATCAGGTATCCAGTATGGAGACACTTTACCCAATTCGTGTTCTCCGATTGTTAAGGGCAATTCTGAAGATTGTGACGGAACTGACGCTTCTGTAAAAAAAAAAAAAATACTTTTAGTAGTCATTTTCCTAATTAACCTGATCACTTTACTATTTTTTTTTTTTTTTATACTTACCTAATAGATTTTCCAATTCTTCAGTATTGCTCGCGTTTTCTTCCAATTCATTTCTTGATTCGTCATCCATTAATCTATTTTCATCGAGATTTTCATCCGTAGATCTAATTAAAAAATATAATAATATAATTTATAAGTTATTTAAAATTTTTTTACTTACATTTATATATTTTTTTTTTACTAACTCTGCAGTTTCTGAGTTGTTGCTGGTAGAAGATTGTACAACGGGTGGTGATGCTGAACTTTCAGAGACTGTAACCTTTGTTATAGGAGAATCTTGATTTATGGATGATTTTATTTCTTTCTCTAAATTTTTTTCATTTTCTTTTTCTTTCTCTTCTTCCTCTTCTAATTCTTCTAAGTATTTTTCAAGTTCTTCATCCGATATATCAAGTTGACTTTCGAATTGAATGGGTTTTATTTCTTTTTTTTCCATTACAACTTCCTCGCAGACATCATCACTTTCTGGTATTTCTTCTCTTCTAAAAAAAAAAAATAATGAATTAATATATTTATTTAAATAAATACAGATTTTATATTTTTAAAAAAATCCTACAATTTATCAATAATAACTATAATGAATCAATGTTTATCTTGACGTTCATGAGTAAACTCAGATAACTTTTAAGATCTTTAACCGTTACAATTAATTAAAAAATTAAATGATATCATTATTATATTTCTTTTTTTTTTCATATTAAATTTAAATTTTTTTTTTTACCTTTTCAAAGAACCATTTTGTGTATCTGGTAACTCAGATTCAGTTGTTGTTTTTTTATTAATTGATTGTTCTTGTTCAACTATGAAATTTTTAGTCGATTCAGATCTTGGTTGAGATTCTTTTTTTTCTTCAATTTTTGTTTCATTATCGTTTATGTTCTCACATTCTTCGACATTTTCAGTTTTGACATCATTCGATTTACTTTGACTAATTTCAGTTGGACACTGTACTTCTGATACAACTTCATCTTTTTCTGATTGACTACTCGAAGTAGTACTTAAATTACTTGATTCATTTTCCGTCACATCAGATTCACTACTTTCCAATTCTTGATTATCGAAAGATGTTTTATCACTTTCTTCTTGTATTTCTATTTTACTATTAATAAGATCTTTTGATTCACTTTTCAAAACTGATACATTGCTTAAATTAACATTTTCTTCTTTTTCCAATATTTTATCGTTTTCTTCAATTTTCTGAATTTTATTTACAATATTTGTTTTTTCAACATTGTTGTGTAAAACATTATCGAAACTGTTATTTGAATTATTGTGAATCTTAACTGGGCTTTCTGCTTTAACATCTTGTGAATCGCTAACTTCAGTTTTAGGTAATTCTAAATTTAATACTTCATTTTCTTCTTGTACAGAATTATTACACACACAATAATCAATTTTGTCACTGTTACAATTATTTACAATAGTTGTGTTATTAAAATCAACAAGAACAGGATTAATTGATTCTTTGACTTCACAGTTTTCAGATTCATTATTAGTTTCCACTAAATTATTATAGGTAGGATATGACATTGTTGTTTCAAGACAGAGACCAAAATCTGCATCGGCAATTTTGATTGGTTTAAAATGTGGCTTTTGGTATTTCGTCGCTGGAAGGTCTTCTCTTTTAAAATGTTGCAATGCATGTCGTACTGCTTGTTCTGAAACAAAATCCATCATATTATAAATCCTTACAAATCTGAATAACAGTTGGCATTACTAAAGTAAAAAGTGACCAAACCAAAATGAAATAAATAATTTAACAGGAAATTCGATTTAAACTTAATTCTGAAACAATGTGTTATAAATTTGAAATTTACAAATTATGAAATATAATTTTACCTTGATTAATTTAAAGGATAAAAAAAAATTATTCTCTGCTACCTAACTTTATAATCTAATTAAAATTACAAATGAATTTTAATCTACAATTATGTCATAATACTTGCATAACAATATGTTTTTGTGATAATTGCTTTACATATCTAATTAAAAACAAAAGCCATCAAATATAATGAAAATAAAATATCATTTTTGACGAATTGAGAAAATTTTTTACTTTTAATACCTAAGGAGGATGTTAAAAAATTTTTGATAAACATGACCTGTACAAAAAATAATATATGTGTATTAAGAGAATTTGTTTAAATTAAGTAATATTAATATATAATATTAGAATGACAGCTGCTTAACTATAAAATTTGTCAAATGATACGCATGAGTCATTCACGAACCAACTAACCTTCATTAAATTCAAATTCATCGAGAACTTTATCCAAATCCACTGTGAACTTCTCCATTTTAATTGAGAATAATTGTTGTCAAGACATATTAAATTCAATTACTTAACAATTAAATATAACAGCAAAAAAAGTTTTGGCTTGATTTCTAACATCACTCGCAAAAAAACAAGTGTTAAGAACCTAAAATCAACTTTTACATTGATATAATACGTCAGAACTACTAGTAGATTTAAGAAATTATAATAATAAAATAAACTTGACTCCTTTCATCATTTTTATTACGTTGTAAACTACGTTCAGAAATAAACTCTGATATGTACCCCGAAGAAGAGCAAAATTACAACAAATCGATCAAATGGAAAACAAATATGGCTAAAGCTTTACTAAACCAGGATGGGTTGACAGCTTTAAAATTTTTACACAACATTTTTAATAAAAAATGTTTTTAATTACTACATAATGTTTTAAAAACATTTGGGGTTTTTAAATAAAAATTATTTATTTTTAATTTAATGATGCCTTCAATGCGTAAAAAAGTTTCAAGTTTCTTTAAACAGCTATCAGTTATTGGGCATACGGATTGTGATCAAACAGATTCAGGGGGGAGTTCAGGATCATTTATTCACAGATATCTTAGTGGGTAAGCCCTTAAAAAAACATTAACTAAAAATATTTTTAAAAACTGCTGCAAATAGTACGTGACATTTAAATCTCATTCTTGAAGGCTTTTATCACTTAATTAGGTCGATATTTCGAGTCGTTATAAAACGCTTTAAAATTGAATTTATTTAGTGTTTTTTTATTTTAATTTTCCTATAATATTTTAGAACTGATGGTAAAAGACATGAGCCTACCATACTATACGGAAGAACTCCTCATGAGCTTCCTCCTTTGGCTGTCGGTTATGTAGCAACCAGTCAGCAATCTATATTTGCATCAATGACTGGTCCAGAAGGAGGATTAACTACAATTAATCCGAGTAAAAAACATTTAAGCACCAGTGATCCTGATGTAGATTACATTGACATCACAGAAGTAATTCCTTCATCCCCAGAAAAAAAAGTTAAATGTCCAGGTTTGTAAATTAATTCACTTTAATTTAAAAATAATAGATTCACTTATAAATCGAAGATGATAAAATGTTTTCTTATTCTTAATTAAGTCTATTAGATATAAAATTCAATAATACAATAAGCCTTGTAAACTAAAAATTCCATAATTATGCTAATTTTAACTTCATAAGGACAAATTGAGAGTTATTTTAAATATAAGCATTGTTGTTGTACATTTTAATAAAAATTTCTACTTATTTTATAAGATGGAAGCCATTGATTTTAATTCTTTTTAGTTGCTTCCACCAATTGTGTATTCAGTTCTGTATCTGGTAGGTGGTTTAATGTTCCCCAATCGTTATCATTAACATATCCAATTGATAACTCTGAAATAAACATTAGAGCTGGTGGGCAGTTGTTTGCTTTTGGCAAAAGATCTGTTTGCACCTCTGTATCAGATTTATCCACAAATGAATCATTGGCAAAAAAATGTGACCTATCTAATAAAGAAAATAATGAAAATGCCTTAATTGAAAACAAGAATAAAAAAATTAAAAATAGGAAAAAATATAAAAAATATCAGGATTTAGTGATTGAAATTAAAAATGATTTTGAAGCATATTCATCGCATGAGAATCTCAGTAAATTGGATGTAGAAAAAAATTTAGCAAAAGAAGAATTGTTAAATGCAATAGACAAAACATTAATAAGATTCGGGTTAAATGACAATGAAAAATATGAGTCTGATTTAAATATGAATGAAGATACGAAAACCAATCCCGTGGAAAATGCAAACACAAATGAAAACGATGAAATATTTATTCCTACAATCCAGAATATAATTAACAACGGTTGTCAGATTGAAAACAACAAATTAGAATTGAATAATCGGTCAATTCCATCTCACAATGAAGATAATCATAATTCTGAAATTGAATTATTTAGAGAAAATGCGGAAGGGAAAAAGTTAACATTTACCAATTCGGAAAGTTTTGTTTTATCGAAAAGCACAAACACAAATAATAATTATTCGTTAAAAAAATCAAAAAGTGCTCCGAATCCTTTTAAAAATTCACATCTTCAAATGGATTCTGGTAAGTTGAAGCTAAAGAAAATTATGTTGAATTATGTTCTGAGATTGTTTTTTAATTTGTTTGTTTGCATGGCCGATTATGGGATATAATATTATCACAAGCCTGCATGGAAAACGCAAAAGAAGATTGGCATTCGATCATTCTCACGAGAAATATTTAGTGATTCAATTTTTTTTATATGATAAGCATGTTTCTCATCTATTGTTAAAATCTTTTTTGCTGTTTAGATTTATTGTTATTGTTGTTGTAATATTTAATTGATTGCTCACGTCTCATTTGCATATATTAAATTTGAATTGATTAATCGATTGGAATTTTTTTTTTAAATGTAGTCACTTTATAAAGTATTTTGATCAAAATTTTATTTTATTTTTTATTTTATTTTTTTTTGAAAGCATGATTTTCATGTGTTGCCATTTATTTATTTATTTTTATTACCGTTTTTGATTGTTTTAAATTAATTTTTTTTTTTTTAAAAAAAAAAAACTTTAGTAGATGGGGTAAGAAAAAGTTTCATTTTTCTTCTCTTTTTTAAAATATGAAATTTTTTTTCCCTCTTCAAAAAAAATTTCACAAAAGAAATGTTTTTTTGTTGTTTTAGCAAACGATAATAAAATAAAACCTTTTGTAAAATGGGAAGATGTCGCTGGAATTATTGACTGGAATCGTCCGCACAATCGAGCTTATGGAATTGCAACGACTTTGTACGAGAAAAATCCAATCACCGATCAAAATGCTGGAAATCCAATCGCTGATTGTTTTGCCATCGTTAGTAGAAATTTCCAGAAAGCAAATATGTCGTAAATAATTATGATTAATAATAATAATGATGATGATGATTGATAATGTTAAATTAGGTGGCAAGGGAAAATTCGGGTATATTAGCATTGGCCGACGGCGTGAATTGGGGAGAAAAATCTTGCCTCGCTGCCAGGTCCGCCATTTACGGATGTGTCGAATATTTGAATAAAACCTTATTCAATCCGTATTCAAATACCAAAGTCACGAACACAACCGTGAGTTTTTTTTTTTTTTTTCAGGTTTTTCAGGTTTTTTTTTTCTGCCTCTGCACGGTCCTCACGCCATCTTTTTTTTTTCGCAGGAGGTTTTTGTTGCGTTACTTCGATCTTTTCACATGGCACACTCTCTTATTTTACAAACGGAGGGAATGTTGACAACACTGACGGTAGCAGTCGTGTTACCACTCGCATCGAACGGAAAATACATCACGTGCGTTTGTAACGTCGGTGACAGTTGGGCGTACGTTTACAGCGTCAAGTACGGAGTTCGAGAAATAACGAAGGGTACGTTCCTTTTCGAAATATTTTTAGGTTAAGGCATTAGGTAGAGAATAATATTTATTCGAAAATTCAGGATCTCACGACATTTATTGCATGAGAGATATGAGGGATGCACTCGGAGCTCTCGGACCCGTCGATGGTACCAATCCGGAATTAGGGAACCTCACGTGTTCCATGACCGAAGTTGAATCTGGAGATATCGTTTTCATCACGAGCGATGGCATTTCAGACAATTTCGATCCCGTCGTTGGAAAATTTGCTGTGAGTTTTACCCCCCACAACGTCCAGTGTGACAACCGTGTGTGAATCTTCGTCAATCACTCAAATTATTTCTCTTAGGTTTTGCCATCAACGAAACCCGACATAATGACCCGTAATCTTCCCGTGGTTCAAGCCGTTCAAAGACACGAACTCACGCTTCTACGTTTGGAGGATCTTTTAAGGAACAATGTTTCCGGGGATGGACCCGTTTGCACGTTGGCCAGTGATTTGTGCTCCAGATTGTTGGATTTTGCAATCAGGTATAAAATGTTGCCCTCTTTTTTTTTATGGAATCGCACTTTGGGGAATTTAAAAAAAAAAAAAAAAACATGTCGGATTTTCTTTTTTAGACTAACTTCGGCAAAGAGAAAAATATTAGAAGACGTCGAGTTGTATTACACGGAAGAAAACGGGGCGGTCGTGGAATTGTCGAAAACGGAACAACGAATCAGACGGAAAAACACGTACGAAAAATTAGTTTTAGTGCCTGGAAAATTGGATCACGCCAGCGTGGTCGCTTACAACGTGGGTCGATACACGAAAGATGAAAATGAAAAAGATGTTGGATCGACGAATCCGGATGATGAAAGTTCGTCGTTGGAAGCCTCGAGTTCGACGTGCGAACTCGAATTTAAAAATACGGAAATGAAAGATGGACAAACAACGGAAGATGATATGAAGAAGAGTAATGAAAATGGTGGAAATAAAAGACTTTCGATATACGATAATAATAATGATGATGATGATGATGTTGATGATGAATCCGAAGGAAAAATGAATGATTTATTCGAAACCGTAATGTGAAGGGGAAAAAATATCGCGGAGGGGTAGGGAGGCGGGAGGGGGTGGGGTGGGACGGGGGCAGGGAAAACAATTTTTTTTCTCTCTTTAAATTTGATTTATTAATGTAAATCGTTTTTTAAATGCCGGAAAGTATTTTTTATTTAAATTTATACGAGTTGATAAATGGAGAGAAGAGGAGAAAATGGTTGCAATATCAGTAGCATAAATAATAATAATCATCACCACGAACCAACCGAGCAGCCTTAACAAAAAAAAAACGCCATTTTTTTTTTTTTTTTTTTTTTAAATGAATTTTAGATTTTAAAATTAGCCAAACGAACACGAAGCAAAAGGAGAAGCAGAAGAAATTATTTTTTCAATTAGTTTTTTTTTGTAATCAAAAGAAAAAAAAGGGGCAGACTGATGTAAAAAGAAAATTTTTGTAAAATATTTACAACAAACGTACGTGATACGAGAAAAATAATAATAATAATTATCATTATTATTATCATAGAAAAGAAAATTGTATTAGTAATTTTTTTTTTTGTATGGTATACCGTAAAAGTGAGTCAATAACAATAATAATAATAATATTAGTATTTGTTGTTTGTTGTTTGTTGTACTTATCGTAAAGTTTTTTTTTATTTTTATTTGCTTTAAAACAAAAAAAAAAAAAAAAAAAAATTTGTATTGTAACGTAACGTCAATAGATTAGTGCCAGAATTTCACGATAATAATATTAATAATAATAATAGGTATTATTATCATTATCAAGATTGTTATTATTTTTATTACAAAAATTAATTATTAATAAATAAAAGTAAGAAAGAAAGAGGAAGAGGGAAAAAAGATTGTACGTAAATGAAAAGTAATCACAATTTTTTTTTTTTTTTTTGCTTGTTGGTAAATAATAATAATAATAATAATAAGATGGAAAAGAGATGTAAGAAATACATAAAAAAAAAAAATTATTCGCACAAGAGAATTCACGCCGAAAAAAAAAAATAAATAAATAAATAGTTAGTTATTATTATTATTAGTTTTTGAAGAGAAAAAATTAAATTATCCGATCGATGAACGAACGTCATTTAAATTTAATTTAAATTTATTTTCAATTTATTTTTAATTATTTTTTGAATTATAAACAAAAGAGAAAATTTTTTTTCTGTTTAAAAAGAAATAAAGAAATTAAAGCTTTAATTTTGAATTAATAATTAAAAAATCGAGCAAATTTTATTTATTATTATTATTATTATTATTATTATTTTTTAAATTTAATATCGAATATTTATCAACCGCCCAAATGTACTTAAAAAAAAAAGGATTTATTATCATTATTATTATTATTATGTAGAAAAAAGTAATTCGTATTCGTGAAAATATTTTACCGTTATAACTTTTTTTTTAATAAAATGTATACATATATATATAAATAAATAAATAACGTAAAAATTATTTTAATTAAATTGTTTATTGTTTTATATAGTTTTTGTTTATTTTTATTATTATTATTTTTTATTAAAATTATTAAGTTTTTTTTGGTTTATTAACTTATTTTTTTTTTTATTTAGTTAAATAACTTGAATTTATTATATATTGTATATATTATTATTATCGAAAATTATGTATTTAATGATTTTGCATGTGCTAACGAATGGATTTTTATTTAAATAACATTAATTATTATTATTATTTTTATTTAATTTCGCGTTCCCGATCGAATAATTATTATTATTATTATTAAATAAATAAATAAATGATAAAATAAAGTTGTATTGAGTGCCAAAATAATTAGCATGTATGCATTTATAAACAATTTTAAAGCTTAAATCCGTCCGCGTATTTGTCATATTATCAATTTCGAATAAAAAAAAATTTTTATTTTACTGTATTGTAATTAATTAATAAATAATAATGTATTTTATTATTATTATTATTTTATCGATAAGGTTTAAACTGTAATATAATATAATAGTTTAATGCCACTAATTTTTATTTATTTATTTATTTATTTATTTAAATACCTTTCCTTTTGTGTTATTTGATAACGATAAGAAAATTTTATTATTATTATTATTATTACGACGTTAGTATCGTTTATTAAATATTAATTAAGGAGGTTAATGACCTTTAAAAAAAAAAATTAAAGAGAAAGGAAAAAAAAATTAGGTCGACCGTGACAGGACTCGAACCTGCAATCTTCGGATCCGAAGTCCGACGCCTTATCCATTAGGCCACACGGTCGTGTTGTAACATGTGGAAAATTTTACGTTAAATAAATCCTCTATTACGACAAATTCATTCCTTTGACAGTGTTTATAACATAAAATTTAAGAGGAAAAAAAAAAAAAAAAAAAAAAAATGTTGCATTTAACTAATGAAGAAATTCGTGATAAATTATTAGAATTAAATTGCAAATGTGGTCCGGTTACGGATACAACAAGAGACGTGTATTTAAAAAAATTAAATAATTTAATAAAGGAGAAGAATAATGTTAAAAGAGATGAAGTTTTAAATGATTCTGATTTATACAATCAATTAATTTCATATGGACAATCTGTTGCACCAATAAATTCAACAAACAGACATATTTATATGAAAAGATTACAAAATATAAAAAAATCTTTAAAAACTGATGATTCTAGTCAAACAAATGATAATTCAAACACAGATAATTATTATGAACCTATGGAAATAGATTAAATAAGTTTCATTAAATCACTTTGATAAATAGCTGTGATTTCAAATACCATTTAATTTAATAAATGAATTATTTTTCTAATCGAATGTAATATTTTTCACATATAGACTAACCATGTACATATTATTATTATATAATAAATGAAATTAATAAATTTTTTAATTATTTTTATCCTAAAAAATATCCTTCAATCATATTTACTGCAACGATTAGATTTTAATAGTTATAACATAACATTTAACAAATTACTCGAATTGTCTCTAAATGAAAAGATATTGATGATAATAACTATTTTGAAATTTATTAGCAATTTTTAATGTCTTTTAATAATAAATTGCTATCCTTTATAGTGTAGAAGAAGAAGATCTTGTTAAAAATATAGTTATTTTGAATATTACACATCAAATTCTTAAGGATATTAAAAAAACTACTCATTTACAACTAAAATAATTATTTACACAACGATTTAAAATCAAATTTAACTAAATGAAATATTTCAATCTATTAAATTAACAAATAAAATGAAATAAAAAAATAAATAAATAAAAGTTGGAGAAGTTTGTCATCGTGTCCATTAACAATGTGTTTGTAATAGAGCTCTGAGAATAAAATTAAATTTCGAAAAAATAATTGAAAAATCCTGTGATTAATTGACTAAAAAAAAAAAAAAAAAACCAATCATGTAATTTATTAATGTTATTAGTAATCATTGTGGAAAAAATAACTATTTATGAAAAAAAAAAAACATACAACAAAGTTTTGTAGCAAAGGAAAACACATGTAAGCGTTATAAGTTGGTGCCACCGGTTGTTGTCATTAAGAATGAGAATCTAATAACAAATTACACACACATTGCAGTTTTTAATTAAAACAAAAAAAAAAAAAATTTTTTTTTTTTTTTTTCTTTTCTAAATTTTATGTGTAAATTTTTTATATGTTTTTATTAATAATTACAGTGAGCCGGTTGAAAAAAAAATGAAAGTCACGGTAACAACTCTTTCAGACAGTATATTCGTACTTGATGTTAGTGAAGATTTGGAGCTTGAAAATTTCAAAGCATTTTGTGAAATTGAAACGGGTATTCCTGCCAATGACATTGTCATTTGTTTCAACGGCCGACCTTTAAGAGATGAAAAAAAATCATTAAAAAAACATGGAATTAAAGATGGTGATGTCGTTATTTTACAACAAATGTTAGGAAGTGGTTCACAAATCAGTAAGATTTATTTTTTTGATTATTTTCAAAACACACACACACACACTTCCATAATAATAATAATAATAATAATAATAAGGGTATTTCGATAATTGTTAATTATTTTTCCTCAGTTTCTATAATTCGAATAAAACATATAATGAAAAAAAAATTAATTTTTTTTTTATTGTTATTATTATAAACTAGTCTAATTGTTTTTTTAGTTTTAGCTGTTGGGGTCAAATTGAACTTTGCTAATCAAGTTTTTGCATTATTCATGATGATGAAGCAAAAAATTATTGCAAAATTTGAGAAATATCAAAAGTAAATAAAGCAATAATAAACCTCAAATTTTACTAAAAATTTTTTTAAATATACCTATTTGTACATATTTTTTTTTATAAATAACAACCCTTCAGTGATTAATTTTTTTTTTTTTAACTCTTTTTTTACACTCATAAAAGAAAATTTTTTAATATACTTTTATTGTAATGATGTTTTTTTTTTTTTTTAAGGTTTACCACCATTGGACTTCAGTACAATTCAAGTGCCTGGTGCATCTAGCAGTAGAGGTTTTTCAGTAAATATAAATGATGATCCAGCCCTTATTAGAAATATGTTTCTCGCAAATCCAGAACAAGTTGCTTTACTCAAACAAAATAATGCAAGACTTGCCGATGCTTTATTAAGCGGTAACTTAGGTAAACACAAATTATATTTTACATTTCATTTTTAAATCATTTCCAAATCATTAACTATTAATCGAAATATTTTAAATTTCTCAAGAACTATTTATGAAAGTTCTTCGAGAACAAGTTGCTGCAAGGCAAGAAAGACAAGCTCAGAGACTGAGAATGATGAAAGCAGATCCTTTTGACACTGAAACCCAAAGAATGATTGCAGAAGAAATTAGACAAAAGAATATTGAAGCTAATATGGAAGCAGCAATGGAATATAATCCTGAAACTTTTGGAACTGTTGTTATGCTTTACATAAATTGCAGGGTTAACGGATATCCAGTTAAAGCTTTTATCGATTCTGGTATTAGTTAGATAAAACTCATTACTTTAATTTTATATGACCAAAAATTTTTTTTTTTATACAAGAGAGTTTAAATTTGTAGGAGCTCAAACGACAATTATGTCAGCTGCT